AAATTATAATTACAAGATAAAAACCCCTACACTAAAAAATAAATTATAACTAATAGTTAATAAATCATAATTAAAAAAAAAAATAGAATGCACTAGATTATACTATAAAACGATTTAAAGTTTTTTGATTATCTAAGAAATAATTTCTTAAAGAGCTTTTAAATGCAGTTAAATATCTCACACAGAATGATTAGCATTTCTTATGAATAGGGAGAGTTTGAAAAGTGTGTGTTGAAATGGTTTTAGAAAATATTCATTCCTACCCAGAGTGCCAGGTATGTCCTATCAGGTGTTTCATGTTAAACAAGCTGTAGCACGAGAATACTATTCACTATTACCAATAACATTTACTTCACCTCTCTGCTTTAACTACATTTAGCATTTAGGTTTCTATGGTTTGTTAGTCAAAACAAAAAACTGTATAACAAGAGAATATTCTGCGAATACAAGCAGGGTCTACAATTCATGCTTAAATTAAGCATATGCTTATGAGTCCATAAGCGGAGTCTGTCCATTTCCTGCATGTTGGGACCCTGAAAAACTTCTGGCCGGTACTGTATCTACCATGGAAAATCCATAGAGAAAATACTAGGAAATATACTCTTATTTAAATTCTCTGCACTAATATTAAATTCTGAGCTTCATTGGCCCCTCTTGTTAGGAATGAAAATCATCAATCTACTTCATGAGTGACATGTGAAGATGTCCTGTGACTTCACACAAGGCTCTACTAACTGATTGCTTTCAAAGAACATAAAGTTTTATTGAAGATTACTGCTATTTTCATAAACATGCAAACACTGTAGTTGAATTTTGTCCATTGAAACTTGGTTTTTCGCTGCTGCCAGTCGAAAATTCACATGTTTCTGAAAATGGCGGTGAACCTTTCTTTAGAATATCAAGGGAAGGAAACCTTTAAAGTGTTTTAGTTTTGAAGAGGGCAGAAGAGGGCTGAAAATTCAGCAACTTTCCAATGAAAAATTTTCTTTAATTAATAAAATCTTGTTCTTTAATTGGTTAATTGGGTATGGTTACCTTGGTAATTGTCCCGGGAGGGGGGTACTCCCATATATGGACTATACGGGGATGATCCGCTGAACAGGGTATGTTTTTTTGAGCTTCATGTCATAAACAGGGCATGCAATTTCACTCAAGTTCCAAGTTCTTCCTGACCTTCCTGTCATATTCAGGGTTTCTACTTTTGTATTGACTGAAAAAAAACAATATGCGAGATGACATGATAATCGAAACAGGAGCTCAGTGCAATTAATTATATCTTCTGTCATAAACAGGGTCTATAATTTTGAGTTTTTTTGTCATAAAAAGGGTTGTCCTTTCAGAATCCCAGCGGAACACCCCTACCCAAATGCTTGCGGAGTACACCCCCCCCCCCACCCCGCACCCCCCCCCCCCGGGTGATTGCTATGAGGCAACAAGGTAATCATTTTATGCTCCAAATTGTGTCTAGGAAAAAGGAGAGGAATGTCATAGTAGATTTCTGTTGTCCGACCAACTCTATGCTAATGCAGTAGTCCCACCATCAGAGAAAGTCTGTCTCTGGCTTGGAGTAAGTAAAGAATACTTTTTGTCTCTCCCCCTTCTTTCCCATGATTCTATGCAGGCACCACCACAGGAGTCCCAAATTACTTTTCTGACAGCTTATTCATCCAATCTGCATTTGAAGCATTAAGTATTTGACAATGTTAACAGCCAGTGTAGCTTAGCACTCACTTTTGATTATTTCAGGCCAATGTGATGCTTGAATACACAATTGACGAAGCAGAGCAGTTGCTATCAAAGAATCTATCTACTGCTAGAAGCAGTCTAGATGAGCTTCAAGATGACCTGGGATTCCTGCGTGACCAGTACACTACAACAGAAGTCAGTATCCTTTGAAATAAAATTGCAAACAATGTTGTTTTACAGTAAGTTACTTGTTTTATAGAGTTCAAGGGTGCCCTTTCACCACAGAACTTCCATAATTTTATTTGTAATGATACTTGAGAGGGAGAAAGGAACCATGTGCAGTAGTAATGTTATGGTGTATGTGCATGCTTGCTGTGTGCAGTAATGTTTTGGTAGAGCCTCCTAATACATGTACATGTATATTTACCACCATTTGCATTGCTACGTGGCCACCCCAGACAAAAATCGTAACATGCATTTTGCAATAGACTGCTGTCAATCAAACATCATTTACACGCGTGTGATTCAAAAGGTGCCAAAACTTGTCAATTGTTTACAAGTATTATGAGCCACACTCACTGGGCCTTAGGGCCTATCCGGGCCGATCCAAACGCATGTAAATGACGTCAAGGTATTTGTAATTTTTGTCGCATAGCAATGCAAATGGAGGTAATATGGTGTATGTGCATGCATTGTGTGTGCAGTAATGTTTTGGTAGAGCTCCCTAATACATGTATGTTTAATATGGTGTATTTGTGCATGCACCATGTGTGCATGCACCATGTGTGCAATAATGTTTTGGAAGACTTCTCTAATACATGTATCTTAAATATGGTGTATGTGCATGCATTGTGTGTGCAGTAATGTTTTGATAGGGCCCCCCCCAATACATGCATTTTTAATATGGTGTATGTGCATGCATTGTGTGTGCAGTAATGTTTTGATAGGGCCCCCCCAATACATGTATCTTTAATATGGTGTATGTGCATGCATTGTGTGTGCAGTAATGTTTTGATAGGGCCCTCCCAATACATGCATTTTTAATATGGTGTATGTGCATGCATTGTGTGCGCAGTAATGTTTTGATAGGGCCCCCCCAATACATGCATTTTTAATATGGTGTATGTGCATGCATTGTGTGCGCAGTAATGTTTTGGTAGAGCCCCCTACTACATGTATGTAATATGGTGTATGTGCCCCCTAATATGTTCAGTATAGTGCATGTGCATGCTTGCTGTGTGCAGTAAGTTATGAAGCATGTGGTTGGTGATTTGCAGAACATGAGAGAAGTGTTAGGATTTTAAGCATGACACACAGTGAAGTACTTTGGTCTCAACACTTCTCAAGTGTTGTGCTAATACACAGCATGACAAGCTACATTTTTTATATTTCTTTTATAAAATAAATTAATAGTTATCTTAAATTTGAATGAAAAAAGAAAGTATGTGCACATGCTCTTAAAAAGCACAAACACCCAACCAATTAAAACGCAAGATTTATAGCTGCAGTTGTTTTATTATGGAATTTAGAAGCCAAGTTGATACTCTTAACTAACATTCTCTCAGACATGGCTAGAGTGTACAACTGGGATGTGAGGAGACGGCAAGCCATGAAGGCACAATCCTAATGTCGCAGCCAAACTGAGACTAAAATCAATTGTGTGTTTGTATGTGTTACCAGTCATATGTTTTAATTTTATTTGTGATTTATTAAATATCTGGATTTGTCTTGAAATGTTGGTTTTCTTGTCATTTTTCTTTGCTTAAATACGAAGAAAGACTGGTATTAATCTCCTGGTGCAATGCAAGTTGGAATTTAGGTATGCAGGATGATGGAGGTGCTTGATCTCCTTCCTATTCAGCCCCACATTCCCCTGGACACCATTTGTCCTAGGATTTTCTAAAAGAAGAAATTAATACATTAGAATAAAATACTATGTGTAGTCTTAAAAAATAACTATACCCTCCTGTAGTGTGAGAGAATTTGACGGATGATACAGGGCATAGGAATGTCAATTTTATTGGCCAGGGAGGGGGGGGGGGGAATATGATTTGATTGTTATAAACCAGCATAGCAAATGCTATTAAAGTGCCTATCACCCTTCTGTCAATATTCGCAGTATTGATTTTACATGGGGTAAGATGTTGAATAACCTGCAAAAAATTCATAGTTTGAGTGCGGCTTTTTCTATGTCGTATATGTTAATGACTGTGACATATGAGGAGGCATTTATGTTTACTTGTTGTTCCTTGTAATTCAAAACACCTTCTATTATGTGAAAACTAACTTGAAATACCTTGTATGAGAGCAATGGGGAAAACAATGACATGTTTAATTTGTTTGGGCCAGCAATGTTTTGTATATTAAATGATAACTTCTCAGGGAACTGTGAAGGGACTATTTAGCTATTTATGCTATTTTAGCATTATTACAAACAGAAAATTTTAAAAATTATTTCTAAAAACCTCTTTTCCACCAGTTAATACAGTAAAAGAGGGGGGTACTCTTGCCCGTTCAGGGTAGGGATGTGCCACTGAGCCTTCTGAACCCTGACCCTGTTCCAGAGTAAAATCGCTGAAATTCATACCCTGTTCCAGAGCAAGATCCCTGAAAACCATACCCTTTTTTGGTAGTGCGAAAATAGATACCCTGTTCCAGAGTGGAGAGAGCGTGATTTCATGTACCCTGTCCCAGAGTGAGCGCGATTTTATATACCCTGTTCCAGAGCAGAATCGCTGAAAACCATACCCTGTTTGGCGGCACRTRCCCATATAGCRRATATAGGGGARKAMCCCCCCCCCCCCCCCCCCCCCCCGGGTTTACTGATACCTCTGTCTTGGTCCCTTCAGTAATCCAATAGTTGTTAACACCAAAGACCTCACACAAACATTTAGTGTACAACCAGTATGTAGTTACAGGAACATTTGCCATTTCCTCAATTTCCTGCTCATTCAAACAATTCAATCAGATAACATACCTCTCATTTCGCAGGTCACCATTGTCTTTAACCTGCCAACTTTCCTTAATATCTTATAGGACATACAAATCTAGAGGAAGGGGGATATACTGTTTCATAATTTACTGAGAGACTGAAGATTTCTCATCTCTGCTTTGCAACTAATTTCTTACCCAAATTTTACAACAACAAGCTTAAGTCATAATCAAAATATTGGTTGCATTTTTTGACTAGATTACACAGAATTAAAACCAAAATCCTGGAAAGGAAATAGAGCTACTCACAACAGCGGTGCGTGCTTTACACTTGGTATACATTACTTTTGTTTTCTCTGTAGAAAGATAATAGTGGTCAACCTTGTGGAAGGTTTGCCTTTTACTCCTACTTATCTCCCTAACCCTCTCTCTACTCACACTCTAAAATGTATGGCATCCAGGGGGAGGGGGTACTCCTAATTATATATAAGAGCAGTGATACTTGTCAGAAATTTTGAAAATGAGCCATAAAAGCTACCTGACCAGGTAGGCATTGCGACTTCTAATGATCTTTATTCCCAAAAGGTACCAATTTTCTATTACCTATTGTTAGGAGAACTGCAAACAAATATCCTGAATTACAACTGCAATAATCTCAGGTATCGTATTACCTTACAAACACCCTAAGAGGTAACAAATAGCAGATTTGGAACCCTTAAAGTTTTGACAAGCATCCCTGCACTTATTCAACCAGAGTACCTCCCTCCTTTCCTGGGTGGCCTGTTTTAATAACAAATTTTATCAATGTTTGGTTGAAGTGTCTGAGTATGCAGAATTTCTAGAAATGTATTATTACTCATTTTGTTGTTTCCTTCCTATTTACCCAATCAAGTTTTAATTACTCTTTGGGTGGTCATTTGAACAACATCCTGCAGCCAACTTATCATAGGTATTTACTTCCGTCAGATTAATGCTCAAAGGTTTTAGAAATCTGTTTTCTTCAATAAATGAACATCGGTCAGGAAATCTATGATTTACTTTGGAATCCAAAATATTTAAAGATCCTGATTTAGTTCAGTACCTTTCTCTCGAAGGAATTAAAACCCGGACCATTCCTTTGTTTAATGATTGTGCACGAGAAGACACATGAATATGGATACAACTCTGACAAAGAACTTATTCTCTAAGAAAGATTAAAATGGGGTCTGCGATGGAGTTAGGCGGAAATGCAAGGGCGGATCCAGCCAAAATTTTAGGGGGGGGGGGATAATTGAGTTTAGGGGGGCTAATTGAGCTTCTTCCGTCAACACAGGAAAACAATATAAAAAAGCATCCCTTTTTTTTGCTGAATGGGGGCTTCAGCCCCCCTTTGCCCCCCCCCGGATCTGCCCTTGAAATGTAGGTCTACTTGATTATTCCATAATACATGTAGATGCACCAGATTATCTTTACATGGGTCTCTCATCTTTGTGTAGTTCATGCCTGGATTCCCAGCTGAGCCACACATGTGAATTGAGTTTGGTTGATGTTCTCTTCCTTACCACACGGGGTTTTCTGGGGTTGTCCAGTTTTTAGTAGTGCATGTACATGTGGAGCAAACCTTACAGAAGAGCCCCTTATGGCGAGTGATGTATAGGTTCCAGAGGCTAAATCTATCCCGTCACTTTTATTATTTCTGCAYGACTCCATTCACTGTCCAGCCTGAGGTATCTGGTATACTAAGACTAGTAGGAGTAATTTTACTGTGAGAAAAATAGTAAGCAAAATCCAAAGATACCAATTCCATTGTTTTCATAGTTTTACTTGGACTGTTTTATAGCCACTATAAATTCCAGGGGGTACTCCGAATGAAAATACCTTTTAGGGTTCCAGATCTGGAATTTGGTACCTCTTCTATAAGTGTCGCAAATCTAAAAGGGCCTTCAGAGAGTAAGCTGGTAGCTCTTAGTCAGGTAATAAGATAATCAAGAATATATATTGAAAGCTGAAGTGAGTTGTAATTCATAGTCAGGATATTTATTTTTGGTTTATCTGACTTCTGCTATTTATAGCACTCAAAGATAAATGAGTAAATTGTTTTAGAGTTGGTACCTTATAGCTTTAAAAATCCACCTGCTTGCCTGGACAAGACTCGAGTACCTTAAGTTGTCATTTTCACTAGTTATAGTAGCCAAAACCTCATGTGCAGAAAAAGTCTATGTGTTTAACCCATAATTTTACATTTAACATTGTCTGAATGCAAAAGACTCAAGGTGTGACCATCCTATCTGTATGGGAGTCCCCCACTTAATTATACAACTTTTTTTTCATGGGCCATTACATGTAAAAATCAATTTAAAAGTTGTTTATTGAAGAGTTTTAAAGATGGTGTCATTATTCAGACTATGCTGTGTGAGACACCAGCAGAAACTTTCTTAACCTTCCCCTCCTTCCTCCTCCAGGGCTTTATTTTAGGGGAATTCGCCTTCAGTTCAGACTAACCATACATAATTGAGACTTTGAAATTAGAGATGATGATTTAACAGGTGCCATTTACTATCACCATTCATACATGTAATGTTAATTTCTGTTAAGATATATACTGATCATTAACGACTGGTACAAAGTTGTTAACAAATAATTTTTATTGTCATCAAAAAGTTTACAAATATATCAATGTATAAATGTTGATTATGAAAATGAAAAGCAAAGGAAATAAATCAGCAAACTACAAAACAAAAAGTAGCAATGTGTAATAACATCTATTTTCATGAGTATTCAACCAAACGATGCACAAAATATTAGCTTGTTCTCACTGGCTACTAGTCAAATATATAGGTCTATTTTCCTCCACATTATTTCTCTTGAGTATTACTTTTTTGTTCACCAGCAACTGTTTCTAAAACAAAAATCAATTTCCAAGAACCTGGTTCAAGTTTAACAAAGAAGAAACATGGCAAAACAAATAAAATTGGTTATGAAAATAGGTGTTATTTAAGTAACCAAGTATTAATTTCAGGTGGGAGAATATTCCCCTCACCCGTCCCATGCAGAATGTAACTACTACTAGCCATTCCAAGAGCAGAAATCGGGGTCAAGTTGTCATTACAGTGCATCATGGTACTGGACGAATAGATGCCATGTTAGAAATATATCCCCTCAGACAGTCCCATGATGCATTGCAATGCTACTCCACCCAGTTTTTCCCTCCACTCAGAATGGCTAAATGCTAGAAAACACTATTCTGACCAATATTTATATACTGGTAACAAAATTAATAATTAGTAAATTAATATATCCATATGTATGTCCAATAACAATTGGTATAATTGGAAGATTATCTTACAGACATTTATACCATGCAAAGTCTGCTCTTATAAAGAGCACTAAGGCTGACATTATGCAAAATTAAGTTACCATAGCAAAACATTCCTACACAAGAGACATTGTCCTTAATTTACAGAGATGTTGCATCATTAACTTCATTAGCTAAAAATAGCTACTTTTATTTTAATCACAGTCATCTTTGTAGTGGATGTGAAGTCATAGCTACCATCTTGGTTGACGATAACAAAAGATTTGGTCCTGGTCTTTCTTTTGTGTTACTTTTAAATGTGCCCAGGGGGGTACTCGAATTGGAAAAGGATGGGGATGCTTGTCRTACTGAAACCTCGTACCTTTTAAAATTCTAGGATTTGGTTTCTCAGGACCCAAGGTTAGATAATGACAGCTGTAATGACAGTTGTAATTCAAGATATTCATTTTTGGTTCATCATCTGATCTCTACCTACTTAGAGAGCCATTTTCAAAATTTCCAACAAGCATCCCTACCCTATTATATTACAGTACCTTCAGCTATTTTATTCTCTAATCAAACATGTTTTGAGAAAAGAGAATCTAGTAACCAAAGTCAGTATTAGGAGTGGTTGCATGTTACCATTAAAGGTAAGGTTGCTTGGCAGTAAGTCATTTCAAAATCACAAAAGCACTTAGAGAATGTTTCAAAAACTAGCAGTTTCTTTTCAAAGGAGTCATGATCAAAATAAACCTTTATTTTCAGTCCAAAAAATGTGGGCATTAAGATATGTTAATGAGTACTCTTCATGAATATAAACAACTTGCTGTCTCAACCTTTACTGTAACTCTAAAACTTGCATATTTTCAGCCTTAGTAAACATATCAAAAAAGATATATTTAATGATAACATTTTGCTAAATGCAAAAAACAGGTTTAGATATTTACAATGGAGTATGATCCTTACAATGGAAAAGTGATATTATATAAATGTTCTAAATTAAAACATGCAATATTATTTGTTGAATACCTGGGAATTTAAAGTACCAAAGCTATGATACAAAACAGTTTAAAATGCATATAAATGTTGCTGACCATTGTCAAGACTTTTAGAGGAATGTTATAAGCAGTTTGATATTACCATGGTCAATATTATTATAAACTAAGTAAAAAAAACCTTATGAAACCTTTAAAACATACCATTATATAAAAATTAAAAGTTATTTTAACTGGGTGCCTAATTTGTGACTATTAATTTCAGATATAAAAAGTTAATTCAGTTATAATTTTAACAAAGTTTTAGAAATTCCTAAATGCACTTCTACAAAACCCATGTTGATATTTAATATACTTGTTAATAGGGTTACATTTAAAAAAAATGCCATTGAATGTTTCAAAGGAATTCCAAGCACAAGGTGGTCACCAGAAACACTATGAACCTTGCAACATTCTCTTTCTAACTATCAATTATCATGCAGCTAAATGATACTCTGCAGTGTGTTGCTAGTATTCTTTATAACACTGACGACATATTCCTGTAAGTTTCAGGTTGACTTTCCTTTTAAAGCTGTCAACTACAATGCTCGACATGATTAATCAAAAACAGAGGAAAACCTGAAAAACAGAGATTGCTGGAGAAAATTCAGTTTATCTCAAATAAAGTCAAAAAAGTCGTTGCTAGATTATAAAAAGATTATTGCTGCACTGTGCTATTTTCAGCTACAAAAACTATAAACATAAAAAGAACAAAACAAGCGCTTTATTAGCAGAATGCAGGGAACACAAAAATACTGTTACCAACTGTTTTTTTTTTTWATGGCACTACCATAATCCCACGCTTGTTAATACCGTAACTCATAAACTGCTGGCAGTTCAACTAAACTTCCTAATTGGAGGAACAATATTTTGATTTAACGGACACATGGGATCCAAATTGCTATAATTTTACCCTTGACAGAATTCAAGCAGAATACCTTGCTTCAGAAAAAAGCTCCTATGCTTAAAAAAATTGTGACATRATTATTGAATGGGTGGTTGTCATGACAACTGTAAAGATGTTGGCATAGCAACTGTATTGATATGAATTTGTGTTGACCTTTGTTCCCTTTGTCTAGAAGCTAACAAGAATCACACCTATGAAATGCTGCACACACTGCAAAATTTAAAATGTACATTATGGTATTTACCTCAAACCACCTCTGATAAATTTTGTAACTAAGATGATACAAAGTAAAATATATGTTTACCACATACTGTCATAAAGCCATATTTTTATGGCTTAGTTAATTTGTTTGTTTCCTTAGAATAATTGTTTTTGCTCAGTTGGACATATAGTCAGAGGCAAATCTAGGGGATTGCATCATTGGTTCATCTGAACAATCTGAACTGCAATTGAACTCCTCTAAATGATAACTACAAGCCCCCAGGTTAGAAATATCAAAGATGAAAGAAAGGGTTCTTCTAAATTTGATTTGAGTTTTGATTCATCCCTGATTATAACCTGGATTCACTACCTAAAAGGTATTACTGTACCTGGTTTTGTTTGATTACATTATCACCGTTGGCACCTTAACTGGCTTGCCAATGTGTATAATTACTTTGATGGCAGACAAGCTTCATGCATGACTATTACAGTAGCTATCTTTTGGTAATGGTAATCTATATATTACCTCTTGCATGCCTTGTATAGATCATCAGTTGTCTTTTGAAAACTGCAATTAAACAAAATCAATACTGAGTATAGATTTAAGGAAATATTTTAAGACATTTATGTTGCTTACTAGAATATCAAGTAATGCACTTCAAGTAATTCCCCCAGATTAAGAATCGGCACTGTGAGTGGGAAATCACCTGAGATGCTGACTGTGAGCCCTTGGTACATTAGTGTTTTGCATTGCAGTGTACATGTTAAATTATTTATCATCATTCTTACCCTATGCCTCTTGTTCTTCTCCTTCTCCAAGCAATAGTTGAGTCAGCTTTTCTACATTTGATTCCTTTGGATTATCATCCATTATCTTAAGAATCTTAGCAGCATCACCAGGGAATACCTCCAGTAGGTTCTCATATACTCTCACCCTGTCCTCTTCTAGTGCTGCTTCACTTCTTTCGCTTGGACCATCTGTTACCTCTGWATCTGTTGGACAAGATCTTGTCCTGTAATAGCCACTTCCTTGACCACTGTTAAAGTTGTTAGGGTAGCGTGGATGAAAGTGTGGGTTTGTGTTGTATTGGTATTGAGGATATTGTCCATGAGGTTGCTGAAACTGTGTCATTGCCCAAGGATGTGCAAAACCAGGTTGCACTGGTTGATACGAGGGTTGATATCCAGCACATGCTCCATATACTTCTTCTGGCACTACCATTCCGTGTGGGATGTCAGGAGGAGGTGCCATGTTTCGATGACTTGGATACATTTGTTGTGGATTGTAATGACCATTACCCCTTGGCAATGAAGGATACCCTTCAAAGCTGTCAGGCATTACAGGAGGTAGGCTTCCCCTGCGAGCTAAAGGTCTATTATAATGTTCAGGCATGCCACTTACTTCACTGTATGGTTGTGACTGTGGTAGTGGATCTGAAAAAGGTCTTTGACTTGGAATGGAGTGATTGGTGCGAAGTGTTGGAGGAAAGAGACGAGCCATATTATTGTACATATCAATTTGTGGAATGGGGAGAGGCTTTGCATGGCGTGGTGGAGGAATTTCTGTGGGAGTTGGTGGTAAAGGTTTTGTTAATAAGTAGGCAGGCATGTCTGGAAGAGGTGGCAAGGGCCTTCCTTGCCTCTGGGTGCAAGACTCCCTATAAGAACCAGACCTTGGCTTGGTTTCCCCATATGGGATGACAGGGGGAGTCAAATGCACCTTCTCCGATAACCGGTTGGCCAACATCATCATTTCTGCTTCTGTCTTAGAGTTTCTCTCAGGATGCAGATATTTACATCTATTACCATAGGTACATCGTCGGCCATAAGGACATGGCTTGCCACATCCTTTCAGAAGAAACTCACTCAAGCTAGGTCCATAGCGCCCTGAAGGGTCGTCAGGAGGCATAAATCTGTCATCTGAAAAGGAATACATCAAGAGTCTTTGGTCAATGACTTTTCTCCACTCAGAGCTTTCATTCTGAAGGTCACGGAAGTTGTCGTTGGAAACAATAATGCCATCTGTTTGATGTGCAAGCCTGATAATGAACCTATCGTCATAACAAATCACACGTCGACCATTGACACATCTTGAGGGTGTCCATACTAAGATGTTGTCCTCTTCAAGACGAGTAAGGACCTCTTGATCAATAATAGGGCTTTCTGGCTTAGATGCTTCTTTTCTCCATGAAGGGACAAACACCTTGATGTCCCTGTGACCTCTTCCAATGAAATAGTCCACAACGATCCCAATTCCACGGCACGAAAATACTTTCTGGCTACCATGGCTATGGAAAAATTTTTTAAAATACTGTGAAAAAATGGTGTGATTTGAAACCAATCAGGTCAAGCATTGGAAAAAATTTGATCCAATTGACAAAAAGAGAATTTATTGATCAGACTTTTAACTTTAATATTTCTTATTTCCCAAACTCAAATATCTTGAGATAACTTTCAATCTGCTCGCTAGAATAGAAAAACCATTTGATCTTTGTGGCAGTATTTGTTTCCATCTCATACAACATTTTGCTCTCTAGGCACTTGGAGTACAGGTACTTAATCAAATTTTTTTTCAATTACTTCATCATTACTTGCAATGCGGTAGCGCTAATTGCTGTTACCTAACCAAACATGTTCACCAGATGAAGTTATTTTTACATGTAGAATCTTAATATAGATCAGTGATTGACAAGAAGATTCAGTTAACAAAATTACTTAAGATTTACCCGATTATCTGCCTTCCCGTCCCTTATTTCTAACATTTTGTTTACACAGCTTGTACACTGAATTGAAGGAGTAAGGAATGAATCCATATTGCCTGGGGCAATAAAACAAAGGCTCCTAACAGCCTTAAGACTCCATTAACGACAGACCATTACTTAACAATTGTGCCATGTTGTCGCCCTTCTAAACTTCATTCACCTCTAAAAAGTCAAGAACGAAAACAATTTACGAAACGCAAGATTTTCTTTTTGTACTATTGAAGTAATTGTTCAAAAATGAGAGATGTTTCAAAAACTTGATACTCAATTTTAAAYTTGCAATTTTTATTTTATTTTATTTATTTATTTTTTTATTGAGGTAAATCACGGCATGTATGATTAGACTATGAGTTATACTCGGAAAGAATTAGAACAGCCGTACAAAATGATCTTACATACGATCGAATAGTGAGTCCGGATGTTTTGGTTTGGGAACAAATGGCTTTGAGAACAGAAACAAGTCATGACTGATATGTCTCAAGTAAGCTAGACAAAGCGGATTTCCCGAACTCTTATCAACGATATCTTGTCCGACGCTAGCAATAGTCTTAAACAAAACATGTCGTTAGTACGCTTTTGTAATCTATACCATTCTAGTAAGACATACCAGAAGACCTTCCAAGGTCAGGGACTTATTTAAGGAGCAGAATTAAAAAATTTGAACAGAATTTTTTCAGAATCTGTTCGCGAGTTTGAGCTTGTTTATGACTGTGAATACAAAATAGTTGAGTACTGATGATGAAACCGTAATTCCCACCAACATAGGGGGATTTTTAGTGCGTTCTCGTTTTAGATATTAAATATCGATCAATAAACCAATTAAAAGGAGCCGGGATTCGAAAATAAATGTCATTCCCAAGAGGTATTGGAAAGTTCGATTTTTTGAAAGTTCGAAATTTCGGAAATTGTTCAGGAATGTACGACTTATAGGTTTACATGTAAAATTATTAGACTAAAGCTGTAAGATCATTTACGGAAAAAAAGAATGAAACTTGATGTTTGATTTCCTAGATCGAGAAAACATATGTGTTTTGATTCAAAAGCAAGTTAAGAAAACCTTATTCTTTTGGCTGGATTATTTTTCTTCGACTGGCTGTCCATTCTGCTGATAAAGCATTTCGCACTTGACGAACACGTGTTTTAAGTACATATCAAAACATTGCGATCATCTGAAGTAAATCTCGAAAAACTTTACAAGATCGCATTTAAATTAAGTAAGAAGTGCATACGCTGAAAAGTAAACGACGGAATATCGCTTAATTTGGTTTGTTTTATTCTATCTGTCTCTACCAATGCTATAGTAAGGCTAAATTAAGCGCTAAGTTATTGAGCGCGACAGACTAATGGCCTTTTGGCGGGTATCCGAGGCTGACAAATAATTACATGCGTATCAAAATAATGGCTTTATTAATGCATAAAAATAATTTAGCAAAGTAATTTTTGATTTAGGAATAGACTTACCTCATTGCCACGTTACTTCCATCGATGACGATAGGTCTAAAGGTATTTGGATCAGTGCTAACAACAGGAGGCGATACGAGCGGTCGTTCCAACGATGATCCTTCTTCGATCTGCTTTGCAGAATTTTGTGCCTTAACTAATTCCAATAAAAGTTTATTATTGTCAGCTTCAGGCCCTAATTTTGATAAGGCACAGGATACCTCGGATTCTGAGTATCTTAACTTGCGAGCAAAGTCTCTTAAAGACTCTCCATCGATCAAATTCGGTGGTTCAAGTTCTTGATCAGTGCGAGTTTGACGAGTTTGGGATTCCGTAATGGAATCTTGTGAACGCACCGCATGTTCTGTCGAAGTTCTATCTGATACTTCTTCTATACCTGTATTCATTGTTTTCTTAGTACAAGGTTCTTTTTCCTCTTCAATATTAATTGATTTTATATTAATTTTAGAGTCTTTAAGTTCATCACTTTGACTACCAGAAGTAGATTCCTTGGAAGGTTCGCTTGCCTTGGAAGGTTTTACAACCTTTGGCTTCGTCGTTTCTCTTCTTTTCCAAACCACTTCTGGCTCAAGATCGTTCGCTTTCTCATTTGATTTCGTAAAATCTTCTTTCGGGACGTGATTTTCATTTAGGTCTTTCTTAATTGTGCTATCATTATGAATGAGAGATCTCATTTGATCCAAACACGATGAAGCCAATGCAACAGCCATCTTCGACCCGCAAATTTCAAGGAATCCCTCGGAATCCACAGCCAAATAGGCCGACGTCTTTCTCTCTATCTYATCTACAACATTAGTAGACCCTCTTTCCTCGTAAAGGTCGCACACTGGAAAATCAACACGGTACCGGACCTCGGGGCTGCAAACACTGATAATATATTCCTATAAAAACAAAAACAAATATGGTCAACTGCGGGTCGCGCGAATCTCGTAGTTTAGTGCCAAGAAACGTGATTATACATCAAAAACRATCTAAATAAATAGTTTTGAATAAAACACCTTGGCTTGATCTAAAAGTTCTGGTTTTTCTTCACAAACTACTCGAATCCACTGTAACGATTCGTATTTTTCTAAGTTCGCCAAGTCCGAGGCTACGGATTCTTGTGATGGCAAAATCTGAAATTCTACGCCAAATAATTGTTTGACACGACTTTCCAGAAGAGATTTCAAGTCTCGGGTATTTGTCTTTAGTACAAACTCCTTGGAAGACGGACTGATGATCTCTTGGAGAACCATTTTGTATTTAGTACATAGAACGTGCTAGTTAACTCATTGTCATGCATAGGATTCAAAGGTCTGATCCTAGAGTGCATACCAACACAATATTACAGAGTATGGCCCACGTATCATGGAGGGCGCGGTGTACTCGTCTTAGTGACGTCATTCATAGTATGATTTCCCGTCAACATATTGTACGAAAAGAACAATGGAAAAATTATCGATTATAATTACATGACAAAATAAGGCACTTCATGAGAACTCTAAACTCTGTCTAAACTATYAATGATTCCGAAAGAATTCGATTTTTTTGGTCTTCTTGTAGCGCCGGAAGCACGTCAGTGTTCTAGACACATGCCAATCATTCTCCCGACCCAAATAAGGGTGAAGGGCAAATATTTTCAAATCGTCAGCATCATTAGCCTGATCGAAAAATTAATTAGACTGTACATAACCTGCTGTAAAACATACTAATTTCATGTAACATTAAGCTGCCATGGATTACAAATCCCGCTAGAATTTTCCGAATAGCTTGCTATTTAGATTTAGAGGTCTTAGTTAAGCGACCACTTCACATCCCGTCCTCGAATGGACATGAATTTCCTTTTTAGCAGTTCAGTGGAAGTAATCAATAAGTTTGTTCTTGTTTCCAAGAAGGGATATCCAGTCGATCCTTCAGCATAGGAAGTTTTAATTCTTGTTTTTCTTTTGAGGCGGTTTTCTGATCCCAAAAAAATTCGGACATCGAAGAATTTCAAAAACTATTCTCCAGTATTTCATAATTGTGGGGAAAGAAGGAACTGAAAGAATGATTTTTGTGTCGTGTTAACGCAATTAGGAAATGTGCTTAGTAGATTWATGGTAAGAGAATCTTGAAATTGAGTGAGTTTATCGCTTATTAATTGTGATAAAGCAACCACAACACGATATTGCTACTAGATTGATTACCAGTAATAGAATCGGGCATTTTAATTGTTCTAAAGTATATATGCTTTTTAACAAATTAAGCAATTAATTTTGTGCCGAACGGCAACCATTTTTACGAAGGACAAAAATTCCCAGAATAAACAACACAAACCTATCTAAACATACCGATAACTACTTAAAACATGTGCAAACAAATCAAATAGTTCAAGAATTTGGTGGTCCTCGAACATTTTTTCTGTTGAAGAGACTACTTGTTTGTAAAAATCGGTAACCGGAAACTCGGTTGAAAAAATATGGTTTATATATTGACGAGTGCGAAATTTTACATCGTTTTTCTGTAATTTTACTTACTATTAGCCAGTCTTTCTAGATAGTTAGAAGAAACTACGGATAAGGCTTTTGCTTTTTAATATCATGTTTATTGTTCCACTAACTCACTTGGATGATGTTTCACTGGTCTTGTGACCGATTCCATCTCACGTGAGCGGACGTATCAAGGCGTTTTAAGATTCTTTTATTCATACAAATCTTTGTTTACGCTCGAAGAGAGCTGTTCTGATTCMCTGTTTTCTCTTCTGGCCACGTAACTGTTGTTTATTGAAAGGTAGGCGTAGTAGAAGGCTAAGCCAACGACATTTTGAACTTGTAAAGGCAYGGCCGGAAAAGCTGAAGGTGGCACATACAGTACCTTGACACTAAATTAAATAAATCATTAATTTATTATCTGTATAAACATAAACTGAATTCAAATGAAGTTTTAGAGCACATTAAATCAAGTGTTTTCAAGAACTGATCGGTTAGCAAATAGACCGTCGCCTAGAGACGGAATCTCAAGAATCTCTTCGACAAAAGCAACTTTTAGAAACCATATTACAGGGGCGGCGGAACCGGGTGGGGGAGAGGGACCGGGGATGTGCCCCCCCC